ATATATATACATATTAACGTATATATATATAGTTATATATATAGATATATATCTATATATTTACATATATATGAATATATATACATATACGTATATATATATATATATATATATATATATATATATATATATATGTGCGTGTGTGTGTGTGTGTGTGTATGTATATTTATATATATATATATCATAGATGCGCAGAAGTATAGCAATTATCAACTTACCATAGCCTAATATGGCGTATTCTACACGTAAATATGTGTTCATACATGCACGTTCATACTAATAAGTGTGTATACGTTTGCCAATATAAAAAACACATTAGTATACCTCGATAGGCCTGAACTCGTCCGTCTGCACATACAAATAAGTATACATTTGCACAACATACTTGTGCACTTTTGTCGACAGGCGCTTCCTCCATAACTCCCGGCCCCACATTCCTTCGCTTCAGCAATGCCTCCAATCGATTTGCTTTGCGCAGAGTGTTTGTCTCATTTGCTCTTTGTCTGCGTGCAACATCGGCATCCTTGCCCTGGTTCTTAAACCCTTTTTGTCGGTCGTCCATGTTGAACTGGTAAGTCTATAATTTAACTTTCGTATATACTATACTTACTATACTTTGCTATTAACAAAAGCCACTATATTATACAGATCTGTAAGTATATACTTCACTAACTGTTGGTTGAATTTATCTCAGAGGGGTCACTGTGAGATGGTGGTTGAATCAGTCGTCGACAAGAATAGATCCGCTCGTATACTAAAGCCATCGACGCTCGGGCGTGGATACACTTGTTTCCGGTGTCGAAACCTGCTAATATAATAAAAAACACTGCTCGTTCAAGGTCGCGACCTCCGTTAAAGTCTTTTCGTCTTCTTCTCGTCAATTCATCGACATATAGGCAGCCCAGGAGCACTCCAATATTCATTTTTTTTTCAACTAAGAGGATTACGATTGTTCATAATACATAGTATTTTAGGCCAGGCTATGGACGGCAGAAGATGATACCGTCATGCCGAAATGGTCACATCAGATGCACTTACCCCCTGTAAAACAAGAGGTTTTTTGTCTGTCACATTTATAAACCAATAGAAACGAACAAGAAATATTTTCACCAATCACAATACGCACAAAGACCGAAATATAAGAAAATTGAGAGTTTTGAAAACCCTACATGCCTCAATTGGCGCGCTTTCACACTTTTTAGACCTCGGTCCCTCACCACGAAACCACGGCAGTTTAAAAATAGCATCCACTCTGCTCGAATATTTATTATTGGACTTTTGGCGGGTGGTTCAATTTTTAAAGAGAGCTGGGGCCTCAGCCCTCAGGACAATGGGAGTGGGGACTCTAGGGACTCGGGACTCCGAGTGGGGGCTGAAGAGAAACCTCGAGCCTCAAGCCTCAACGCATTATGCGTGAAACCGTTTTTTTAAATATATGTACAGGCTATGGCCCAAGGTTGAAAATATTCGAACATTCTCTGTAGGCTACATATCCGTTTAATTTTTAATTAATTAATTCTTTTTTTTCTTCTTACCGTTCATACGTTTTAGAGTGTATATCGAATAAATAATAAGCGATACGTTCAGCATTTTAATTGGCCCACTTCCACTGATTGCGGTTAGATGTACAGTGCTGGTGGCTGACCGCGAGTCTGCGCGAGTTTGGGCGTGGGTCGGACTCGGTGGGTGGGTGAAAAGAAATTCAACTCCAACACGAGAGTCACAGGTTCACAGACCAGTCACAGTCACCGAGTCACAGTCGAACGTTCGAACCCGTTAAACGTGGGCCAGGCGGTCAGCATAAAACTATTCACAGTTTGTTACCGCAGTGCAACCGAGAATAAGGAGAGAGAGACCACGAGAGTAGTATAGATACTGCACAGCAAACGAGAGCGACTATCAGTGTTACAACTGTGTAGGTTATAACCAACATAACACATCGTATAACACAATGGCTAGAGGACAGCAGAAAGTGCAGGCACAGCAGAAAGCTGCCGCCAAGGCAGCCGGAAAGAACAAGAAGAACACAGGGCCACATGCACGCCAAGTAGCTGAGAAAAGCATGCAATTTAAGTGCAAGGTGTGCATGATGATGATACAGTCGGCAGTGACATACAAGGAACACTTTGAGAGCAAGCATCCCAAGGCCGATTTGCCCGATGAATTGAAGGAGGTCTAAGGAGTATGCGTGTGAGTGTGAGTGCGTATGCTGTGTGATGAATGAGGTTCCGGGAATAGACGATGCATTCTTGTCCAATCAGAAGCAAACGTGTACACACAAACGCACACACATACACACAGGTATATATAT